GCTTAGAGAGAGAGGGAGTGATCTAGAGAGAGAAGGAGAGGAGAAGAAGACAAAAAGTGTAGGAAAATATCGAGATTTTGGTAAGAAATTTAGTATTTACTTTTAAACATCATAAGAAGTATTTCTAAAGTAAAATTAATAAAGTTTAAATTTAAGGATTGCATGGTTAAATATTATGCCTAAACGAAGTAATTTTACGTGTTAATGCATATTTTATGATCGTTTATGAACTTGTTAATTTGCATGTATAATTTAAATTATTTAATACTTGAAATAAATATTGATATGTGATGTATAGACATGAGAAATTTGTATTAGTATTGGCATGCATAATTCATAAAGTATTTCGTTAGGCTTTTTATCTCTTAGAGGTTTTTATTTCTTCCACAATCTGGTCTAAAAAGACATGAGAGAATCGCTCCCTGTGGATGATAGCATACCCTCTAACGAGAATGGTGGCGCGATATGATTGTAGGGGTCACCTTTGGTAAAGTACGGTTGTGACCGTAGTTAACATATAGGACCACTGGAGTTGGTATGACCACAATCATAGATCGTGTCATGGTTTGGCAAGCCGTAAATGTATTGTTGGTTGACAAACTACACATTGCTTTTATAAATTAAATGAATTGGTCATTCCACATTGATAGTCGGGAATCCGTATTGCCCTCAATAGATAGAAGTCAGAATGATTTCGAGCGAAGAATAAAATAAAAGATAATGCACATCATGTTTTGTTTGATTTTCTCTATTTTTTAGCATGATTGATTTGATTGACAGGACTATTAAATGATAAATTTGATTTTTTATAATAAATAAACTTTTTTCATAATTAAGAACCGTGACATGACCCTTGAATGGTAGGTAATGATGATACTTTTAATTACCTTTAAAATCTTATGATGTTATTTAAATACTACTTTTCTTATTGAGCATATGAAACTCACTCCTTTGCATGTTCCCCTATAGATGAGGAAGATAATGAGGAACTGATCGCTGACCTACTCCTTAAAGTTTTTGAGGATCTCGTGGATCCATAAACTTTTATAAGTGCATGACTTGTTTCGCACTCTAATGAGTCCATTTACATAATGATAGAAGTGATCATCTTTTGTATTTTGTTATTTTGTATTTTGTCGTCATTTCTGACCTCAGTTATATATGTAAGGAACTCATATATTTTGTAAGGGATTTGTAATTATTTATTTCACTGCATACATTTAACGTTTATGCACTCATAATCTGTTTCTGTATGTGGTACTCTTATACCTTAATTAGCATTTGGGATGTCACAAATGGTATCAGAGCAGTTACACGGAACAATCCCTTACGACTGAGGCTGTAGCTAGAAAACTCCTCTAGGATACTTTAGAAATGTGTCATCTTTTAAAAAACTAGACCACCAACTTGTGTTTTCCTTTTCTTTTATAGGAATGACGCAAAGAAGACATTTTCTGTAGAGCGTATCGAAAGACTTGAGGCCCAGGATCATCCGACCATGGTCGAGTTTACCGAACTTTTCCGAATCATCCAGGGTCTAACTGCAGTAGTAGGACAAAACCAAGCCAACCCTTGCCAACATCCTTTTGCCCTTAACTATTGACTAGCCGAAAAGTCTATCTTCTATAATATAGCAGAGTTTAAGAAATTTAACCCGCCCCACTTTGAAGGAGGCCCCAACCCCTTAGTGGCCAAAGCATGGATCCTAAAGATAGAGAAATTTTTTTCTGTCTTAGACCTAACTGAGGAGCAAAAAGTCCCCCTAGCAGCCTTCATGTTAACCGATAAAGCCAAACATTAGTGGCAACTTAAAAAGGGAGTCTTACCTACCCCTACTACTTGGGAGGTTTTTATGGACACATATATTTAACTGTTATGCATTTATAATTTATTTCTGTATTTAGTACCCTTATGCCTTAATTAGCATTTAAGGTGTCACATTTATACCTTGAATTTGCTTTGGAATAAAATAAAAGGATAAAATTAATGGGAAATTTAGAAATTATAAATAAGGGAATAAATTGGATAAAATAAATTAGCAATTAAAGGAGAAATAAATAATTGAAATTGGCTAAAATAAATTAGCAATGAAAGGAGAGATTAATAATGGAAATTTGGATTAAAATGGCAGGAAATTGAAGATAACATAGGTTGGAAACAAGTAGAGAAAATATGGGTAATAATAGGAATTTGGAAAAGTAGGAAAAACAAACATAGGATGGTTAGGTTAAAATAATGAATTAAATTAGCTGGACAAATAAAAATTTTGTATGTTTTGGGTGACTGGTAAATTATTGAATGGGATTAGAATAATGGGATTAATTATTGAATGAATTAGAATAATGGAATTAATTAAAATGTTGTATGTTTTGGGTGACTGATAAATAGAAGAATGAAAAAAAATGGTTAATGAAGAGTAGAGAATCCTATAATACTGTATGTTTGTGTGAAGAAGAAATGAATAAATTAATAAAAGAAAAGAACTATAGATTAATTGATTATCTTTAGGGAACACTGTGACATTCAAAATGCTAATTAAGGTACAAAGGTATCAGATATAAAAATAGATTATAAGTGCATGATAAAATTATATGCAGTAGAGTAAATTATTATAATCATTTATCAAAATATGAGTTTCAATTACATATATACATAACTAAGGCCAAAAGTGGCAAAATAAAAAAAATAAAGATACTAAAAATATAAAAGAGCCACTTGTATTATTATGCGATTGGACTCATCAGAGTGTGTGGAAAAGTCATGCACTCAAGGGTTATGGATTGACGGGATCCTCATAGACTCAAGGGGTAGGTTAGTGGTCGGTTCCTCATTATCTTTCTCATCTTGGGGGGGAGAGAACATGGAAAGGGTGAGTTCTATATACTCCGTGAGGAAAACAGTATTTAAATAATATTGTAAAATTTTAAAGGTGAATAATTATATCATAAATACTTACCATCAAGTCACGTCAAGATCCTATCTTACTTTATAAAAATAATTTTATTTATTAAATAAAATATTATGTCATAGTCACAACAATCAAAATCAAACATCATACTTGATAATAGAGAAAATTAAACAAATCATGAAATGTTTAGATTTTCATGTCATGCTTCGCGAAGTAGTTCTGACTTCCATATCTGAGTGTAGATATAAATTTTTGATTACTCATGTGGAATGACCAGATCAGATACAGATAACAACAATTTGCTCAGGCACATTTTTAGCTTGCTAAACCATTATAAGATCTATGACCACGGTTGTACCAACTATTGTGGTCCTATTAGATATTCTATAGCTATGGTAATATTTAGCCAAAAGTGATTCCTAACAGATATTCGCATAACTACTCTGGTCAGAGGATACACCGTCATCTATTGGGAGTGGTCCTCTCACGTCATTCAAGACCAGATAAGGGAGGGAGAAAATAGATACCGCTTAGAGATAAAAATTCTAACGAGACACTTGATTCATTATGCATGTCAATATAGATACATATATTTATCATACCATTTAGCCTCATTCCCCTTCTCTTTCTTTATTTCTCTTTTTTTTTTAAATTTTAATATTTTTCAGGCAAATATCACCAGATTCACATTATTTAATTTACATGCAAATCATCAAGTGTCAATAAAATCACATAGTATACTTGAAATTAAGAACAAATTACTTTATTAAATCTATTAAATATGGAATATGCAAAACATCAAAATACATATTCATAATTTTAATTTTCTAAAAATACTCCTTAAGATGTTTAAAAAAAATAGTAAATTCCTTACCGAAATTTTGAAGTTTTCTTACACCGTTCTTCTTTTTCGTTTCTCCTCTCTCTAGATCACTCTCTCTAAACTCTTGGAAGATGAAAGAATAGAATGGAAGTGCTGAGGAAATGGAAGAAAAGGTCCCTATTTATAGAGAAAATGAAGAAAAGGTCCCTATTTATAGAAAATGAGGACTGTTGAATTTGCACCAAGTGACGAAATCTGGTGACGACATAAAAAACAGAAGAAATATTCCTCCACAGGCAGTGGCACACTGCCTAAGATGGCACATGGTGCCCAAGGGGGCGACAGCACACTGCCCGAGGTGGCAGTGTGCCTCACAAGGCCGAACGTGTATTGCAGGTGCTGGGCTTCCCTATGTGTGCGCAGGGCCTTCAGCGCACAGGGTGTTGCGCATAGGCCTACTGCTCGCAAGCCCTAGGTGCGCAGGCCTATTTGCACAGGCCTATTGCATGGATGATGCATGCACAGTGCGTGCGCGCACAGCAGGCACGGGACGTGCAAACAGCATGCATGTTCCATCTGTGTGCGCGGCGCAGGGTTAGACCCTGTGCGCGACCTGTCGCACATGGACAAGCTGTCCGTTGTCACCTTGCACGTGCCCTTCGTGCAACAAGCCAGCGTTGATAGGCCTCTGTGTGCTTGGGCCCTAGCCTAGGCGCATGGCACCCAGCGCGCTGAGGCCCTGCGCGCATGCAGGCTAGCCTGCAGTGCACCAAGGCCCTGCACGTGTGGCAGGTAGCTTGTGCGCCTGTAGGTGACGCATCGCAGCTGAAAGCAGAGGAGGCCTTCCTCCCTCGTTTTTGTGCCGAACATCTTTTACCTCTCTCTCTTCACCAGATTTTGTCACTTGGCGCGAATCTAACGGTTTTAAATATCTATAAGTAGAACTTCTCTTTCCACTCTTCTCCACACTTTTATTCTTCTATTTTTTAAGACTTAGAAAGAGAAAAAGAGAGAGAGAGTGATTTAGAAAAAAAGTAGAATGAAGCATAAATGATCTGAAATATGTAAATGTACGGCATGATATGTATAATGTATAAAGTGTCTCGTTAGGCTTTTTATCTCTAAAGGGTATCTATTCCCCTAGCCCCATCTGGGGTATCTGTGTCCCTCTCCCCCATCTAGCCTAAAAAGACGTAAGAGGAAAGCTCTCTGTTTATGATAGTGTACCCGCTGATGATAGTGATAACACGAATATCTGTTAAGGATCTTTGGCTAAGTATTGTCGTGACTGTAGATATCTGATATAACCAATATAGTTTGTACGACTGTAGTCGTAGATCGTACCATGGTTTGGTCAGCTGAAATTGTGCTTAAGCAAATTGCTGTTATCTATATCTGATTTGGTCATTCTACATGGGTAGTTAAAAATTTATATATGCCTTTAAAAATAGAAGTTGTAATGGCTTTGTGAAGTATTATATGAAAATTTGAGCATTTCATGATTTATTTGATTTTCTCTATTATCTGGTATAATGCACGTTTTTTTTTATTATATTAACATACTGTTTTTCTAATGAATAAATTATTTTCATAATGTAAGATAGGTTTACGAAATAGCCAAATAGTAAGTATTTATATTAGAATAATTCACCTTTAAAACCTTACGATGTTATTTGAATACTATTTTTCTTAGTGACTACATGAAACTCACTCTTTCTATGTCTTCCGAGATGAGGAAGAAAATAATGAACTGTAGGCTGACCTATCCCTGGAAGTCTATGAGGATCTCGTTGATCCACAGAACTTGAGTGCATGATTGTTTCTGTACTCTGATGAATCCAATAGCATAGTGAAAGAAGTGGTCTTCTTTTGTGTTTTGATTTTGTAATTGTAGCCACTTCTGTCCTCAGTTATATGTATGTAATTGGAACTCATATAATTTGTAAGGGATTTGTATTAATTGGTTCTACAACATAAACTTTTATCATGCACTCGTTCTTCTGTTTTTGTATTTCACACCTGTTTGCCTTGAATAACACTTGGGATGTCACAAGAAGTATGGAGAAAATGGGAGGAAGGGCCCCTATTTATAGAAAACAGGAGCCACTGGATTTGCGCCAAATGGTGAAAACTGGTGAAGAGAGAGAGTAAAAAGATACTTAGTATAAAAATCGAAGGAGAAGGACCTCTTATACGGCGGTGACACCACAAGAAGCGGTACACCGTTCGAGGTCAATCCACCCAGTGCGAGCTGCAGGCCTGTGGGCGTCGGGCTACCCTGCCGCGTGCAGGAGCTGGCCTTCATTCGCGCAGGGCCTTGGCACGTTGGGGCGCCACGCGCAGGCCCTAGGCGTGCAAGCCTATCCACGCAGGCCTACTGCGCGGACAACGTGGGAAGAGTATACAAT